TTATTACTTTTATTGTTATTATAATTAGAATTGATATTGTTATTATTATTGTTTTTGCTTTTGTTATGGATATTATTATTGTCATTGTTATAATTACACCTATTATTATTTTTATTGCTATTGTTACTAATGTTATTAATATTATAGTTATTATTATTATTATTATTAATATTATTATTATTATAGATATTTTTATTGTTATTACTATTGTCATTTAAATTATTGTAATTATTGTTACTGTTAATATTATCATTACTGTTATTGTTATTATTATTCTTATCGTTATTGTTATTGTTATTATTTATATTATTGTTGTTGTATACAAATGTTGTATACAAATAATAATAATAATATTAGTAACAATAGCAATAATAATATTTATAACAATAACAATAATAATATAAATAGCTATAACAGTAACAATAATGATAACAATAGCAATATCAATAAAAATAATAATAATAACAATAATAATAACAAGAACAATAACAATAATAATAATAATAATAACGACAATAAGAATAACAAAAACAATAACAATAATAATAAGAATTCCAATAACAACAATTTAAATAATAATAATAACAATAATAATAACAAGAACAATATTCGAAATAATAACAATAACTATAAGAATAACAATAACAGTAACAGTAATAATAACTATAACAATAATAATAAAAATAACAATGACAATAATAATAATAATATCAATAACAACAATATGAATAATAATGATAACACTAATAATAATAACAATAATAACAATAATAATAATAATGATAATAGCATTAATAATAGTAATAACAATAACATTAATAATAGTGATATCAATAACAATATTAACAGTAATAAATATAATAAGAATAATAATAATAATTATAACTATAACAATACCAATAACAATAACAATAAAAATAACATTAATAATAGTAATAACAATATCAACAGTAATAATGATAACATTATCAATAAATATTATAAAATAACAATAATTATCACAATAACAATAACAGTAATAATAATACTTACAGGAACAATATTAATAACAATAACAAGAATAATATTAATGTCATGAACAATAATATTAATAATTACGATAATAATAATTATAATAATAAAAATATAGATAATAATAATAATAATAACAATAACAAGTATAACGATAATAGTATGACATTAATAATTAGAACAACAATAAAAATAACAACATCAATAAAAATAATAATAACAATAACAATAATAATAATCAAACAATAACAATACTAATAACAACAGCAAAACGGGAATAATTATAACAAAAACAATATTGTTAATAATAAAAATAACAATTAAATTATAACTATATTAATAATAATAATAAAAACAATAATAAGAACAATAACAAAAACAGGAATATCTGAAATAAAAATAACAACAATATTAATTATAACGATAACAATAATAATAGTAATAATAATAACAATGACAATAACAATTATAATAGAAATAACAATAACAATAATAATAACAGTAACAATAATACTAATAATTATAATAACAATAATAATAATAATAACAATATCCAAAATAATAAAAATACCAATAAAAATGATTATAATAACAATAGCAATAATCGGAATATTGGCAACAATATTAACAATAATAATAACAATAACAATAATAATATAAAGAACAATAACAATAACATTATTAGTAAAAATAACAATAACAACAATATTAATAATAACGATAACAATAATAATAATAATAAAAATATCAATGATAATAATTTAAACAATAGAAATAATAATAATAATAAAAAGAGCAATAATAATAACAATAATAATTGTAATAACAATTTCAATAATAATAATAATAATAAAGGCAATAACAAAAACAACAAAAATAACAATAATAATAATAATAAATATATCAATGACAATAATTATAATAATAACAATAATAATAACAATAACAACAATAATAATAATAACATTAAACAATAATAATAATAATCGGAATACCAATATTAATATGAATATTAATAATAGCAGCAATAATAATATTAATAACAATAACAATAATAATATTAATAAAGATAACAATAGTAATTATAATAAAAAATACAAAAAAAATAATAAAATCAAAAGCAATAATAATAATAAAAACAATATCAATTATTATAACAATTACAATAATAATAACAATAATAAAAATATCAATGAAAATAATATTTATAGTAATAATATTAATAACAATAATAATAACAGTTACAAGAACAATAATATTAATAACAATAACAATATAAGTAATAATATCAATAACGAAATTAATAATAATGACAAAAACAATAATAAAACAATAACAATAGTAATAGTAATAAAATAATAATTACAATAATAATAATAATAACAATAACTATAATAATAATAATAATAATAAAAATATCATTAATAATAACAATAGCAATAATAATAACAAAAACAATAATAATAATAATAACAATAAAAATAATAATAAAAATAACAATAACAATAATAATAACAATAACAATACTATAATAATAATAATGTCAATAACAATAATAATAAAAACAAGAAGAAAAATAATAATAATAACAACAACAATAATAAAAACAGTAGAAATATTAATAATATTAACAATTACAATAACAATAATAATAACAATAACAATAACAATACCAATAACAATAACCATAATAATAATAACAATAATAATAAAAATAATAACAATAATAATAATAATAACAATATCAATAATAACAATAATGATAACAACAATAACATTAATAATAACAATAACAATAATTATTACAATAATATTAACAATAACAGTAATAATAATAATTGTAAAAACAATAATATTAATGGCAATAACAATAATAAAAACCGGAAAATTTATAATAATAATAACAATTACACTAACAATAATAATAACAATAAGAATAATAATAACAATTCCAATAATAATGACAAAGACAATAATAATAACAATAATGACAATAACAATAATAACAATGACAATAGTAATAATAATGACAATAACTATAATAATAAAAATAACAATAAAATAATAATAATAATAATATTAATGACAATAGAAATAATAATAATAATAACAATAATAATATTAATATTTTTTTTTTGATGGTCTGAGAATGCCAAACTTTACGCACTAACCCAGGGACCCTGCCCGCCAGAGAGATCCTTCACCATTTGGGTTCCCCTTAAAGTCTCTGGTGTGTCGCCCTCACCGTTAGAATAGGCGCTACCGACTCAACTCATATCCATCCTAGTGGCATAGTAAAACCATCCCGGCACCGCCATGTGGCATTACTTCAGGATGACGCCAATGCTTCTTGTCCCTTAACTGGGCTCCGTCTTCGGCTCTACGTGGCAGGAATCAGGAGGAACGTTGGTGGCTCTTCTATGGGCCACTCATCTCCTTCTTCATCTTGCTTAAGATTAACCTGACGTACCAGGCCACCTTGTTCGACTCCTGCTTCCCACGCAGTATTTTCTCGACGACGTTGTCCGGCCAGATGTTTCCGAGGTCTTGTTCCAAGGCTAATCGATCGGCGCTCTACCGAGTACATAAAAAAAACGTGTGTTGGGCGTCGTCGTTGATCGAGCCCCATGGGGCAGTTGGCGTCTGCTACCTTCCTCATTCTAGCCAGGTAGGAGCGGAACAGGCCATGCCCTGTCAGGAAATGGGTGAGGTAGAAATCGACTTCTCCCGCCTCCCGATTTATCCAGTTGTCTAGTCGAGCAGTCCATCTACGTTCCTGCTCCCATCTACTTTGCCAGGCCTTGGTGCTGATAGACCTAGCGAGCCTTGATTCCTTCTCCTTTCGCAGGACACACCTTTGCTGGTGGACGAATTTCCTCTCCTGGGCTAATAAATCTATCGGGATTACCCCGGCGACAAATAGCACTGCCGGCTCTGAGACCGTGCGGTAAGAGCACGCGATTCGCTGGGCGCCCCTTCTCTGTACCACGGCTATGCGCTTGCGGTATTTTTGTTTTCTCAGCGCCTCGGCCCATACATCCGCACCGTACAGCATCACTGCTTTGACGGCACGCATCAGTAGTCTCCTCATGCACGGTGAGCATGCCCAGTGAGGCTACTACTTTTGCCGCCTTGTCGGCTGCCCTGATAATATGCTCTCCATAGTTAAGCTTGTTGTCAAGCATAACCCGAGATATTTGACAGCCGACTTAGTCTGGACCACCGCGTCTCCGACAATGAAGCTACGCAAGTTGTTGATGCGCTTCCTCGTAATTAGCACGATCTCTGTATTCTGGGCTGTTGGAGATAGCCCGTGGTCTTCCATCCAGGAGATAACTCTCCGCATGACCTGGTTGAGCAGCAACTGTGCCCCCTCCGTGTCTCTTGCAGTTTTGACTACTGCAATGTCATCTACTTACCCAACCAAGAAAGTACCTTCTGGGACTGCTATACGAAAGATACCGTCGTAGAATATATTCCATTTATCCGGTCCCAGTATGGAGCCCTGTGCTGCCCCCGATGTCAATTCCAAGCTTCTTGGACCGTCACTCGTGTTGTATACTAGGACGCGCTCGATTAAATAATCATTAATAATTCGGAGGAGGTACTTCGGAACGCCGAAATTACGTTCGTGCGCTTCCCTTGCCAGGTCCCACCTGACGGAGTTGAAGGCATTTCTCATGTCTAAGGTGGCCAGTAGGCACAGAGGTCGAGTTCGATGATTGCCTCGCTCCATCATTTTAGCGGCCGAGACCACCTCCTGGACTGCGTGGATGGTGGAGAGGCCGGATCGGAATCCGTACTGGCGGCCGGCAAGATCCCCCGCTGCCTTCACGGCTACGTGCAGCCTTGACATTAACAGCTTCTCCAGGAGATTTGCAGCCGTATCGAGCATACAAATAGGCCTGTATGATGAAGCTGCCCCTTATGTACCCTTGCCCTTGCTAATAAGCACAAGCTTCGCTTTCTTCCATGGAGCGGGGAAGATGCCCCCTCTGAGGCACGTGTTATACATGTTCAGCAATAGCTCAGGATGACTTTGCGCGACAACTTTAATTATTTCTGCTGGAAGTCCGTCTGGACCTGGAACTTTCTTGTTCCGCGTAGAAGATGCGGCCCTGAGTTGCTCTTCTTCCGTGAATTGCGGTACCTCGCTTATTCCGGGCGCATCCAAGCTGATCTCTCTCTTCGGCTGTGGGGGGAATAGAGTATGCACGATGCGATACAACATCCTCGCGTTCTGAGGGGTCCCTTGCGTGTTAGTCCCCAGCTTGCGAGTGACGATGAGATACCCTAATCCCCACGGATTCTGGTCGACATCCAGGCACAGCTCCTTCCAGCACCGTCGTTGACTGGCCTTGATGGTCCTCTTCAGCGCTTTCTTGGCCGCTTGATAGTCTGCGGCCAAAGGAGCAGCGTCGTGGTCGCGTCTCTTCGCTCGTTGTGCTAAACGGCGTAGCCTTAAGCTCTACTTACGAAGATCTGCGATCTCGTTCGTCCACCAGTATACAGGGCATCTCTGCCGTTTCGTGCCATTCTTTTGCACCGCTATCGCGCAAGCCTTTTGGATGAGCTGCATGGTTGCTGCGCCAATCAACTTCGCTTGTGCGGTTTGCGATAGACTCGCGGAAGTACTTTGTTGGGATCTCCATCCTTCCTCTATGACGGAAGACAGCCTCTCTCGATCCATTCTTGCAATGTTCCACCGGGGGGGTCGCTTTACACTTGGCACGGCTGGCCTCCTATTTTGTACAGCGAATAGGATGTACTGATGATCGCTCCCGGTATAATCCTCGATCACCTGCCAACCTGCGACTTTTGCCACAAGGTGTTCGTTGGCTAGAGAGACATCCGGGATCGTCTCCCTGTAGCCAGGCCTGCGGGAGGTTGACATCGAACCTGTGTTGAGTACTGATAGCTCCAGTCTCGACGCCACCTCCATGATACATCTTCCTCTGGAGTCCGGCCTAGCCTACCCCCATTCGAGAGCTTTGGCATTGAGGTCTCCAGCCACAATGAGATCCCCTTGCATTTCCCGCAGCGCGTCTTCCAGATCGTCCAGTTTGATCTGGATGTCGTCTATCCGGTCGTTCGGAGTGAGATATACACTGACATATGTCGTCGAGTTATGTCTCACCCAAACGTAACCGTTTCCGGTTCCTTGGTCCGACACATGTATTAGTCGGGGATCTGGGATCCAGATGGTCGCGGTGCCCAATTCGTCTGCGAACCTTCCTACTCCTGCTCTGTCCTGGTACTGTTCGCTGATTAGAACAATATCAGCTTTTTTCTCAGAGCAAAGCTGGGCTAGAAGGTGATGCGCCGTCCTGCTTCTATTCAGGTTACCCTGAAATACTCTCATCCTTTTTTTTTCTACTTCTTTACTTTTGCAAGGGCCTCCTGGAAAGCTTTGCAGGCCCTTGATCCCGCCAGGTGCTTCCTAGTTTCAACACCACTCCTTGAGCACAAGAAGCAAGTAGGCTCGCTGACCTTGCACTCTCTGATCTTGTGCCCCGTGTAGCCACAATAATAGCAAACTGTTTTGCGATCAGGTCCCTTGCACGAGGCACTATAGTGACCATAGTCGAGACAGCGGAAACATCGCCCTACTTCTGCCCTTCGCCTGACCCTGCAGCTGATGAATTCAATCAGCACTCGACCGGCCATTAAAAGCTGCGCTGCTGCTTCCTCTTCTATTTTGATGAGGTCCAGGCGTTGTTGTCTTGCGTTGGGGTTCGTCATCTTAATATCGATTTTCCCCGCGTAGCCTGGCAGGGTCCTCTTTAGGGCCTCCTCGACTTCTATCGACGAGGTGCAGCAGTCACAGTCCCGTATCTCCAGTGTAGCTCTAGGGACCATTTCCGTGATGCTGCTCATTTCTCCTACCTCTTTTTTCAGGGTTTTCGCGAATGAGGCCTTGATATCCACGGTGGTCTCCATTAGTTCGAGGAGAATCCCTCCGGTTCTAGTCTGCCGGAACGATCTAATATCCACTCCTGTGGCGCTGTTCTTTAAGCACTGGTGGATGACTCCGACTACGTCTGCGTAAGATTTTCCTTGCACAGGTTTCAGGAGGATTGCGTCCGGCCTAGTTCTCTTTCTCGGCCTACCCTCAGATTTGGTCGGCTTCTTTTTCTCCTGATGTAGGTGTTTCGTCGCCTTCGTCCCTGGTTTCTCATTATTTCTTTTCTTCTTCACGACCTCCGTCCACTTGGTGGATTCAGTCGTCGTCGCCTCTTGCCTCGGTCTTTTGAGGGTTTCTTCAGACATCTGCGGCGAGCTTGAGGCTACTCTTTTAACTGCGCTGACCTCAGTCGTAGAATTTGCCCGAGGGCTCTGTGAAACTCGGGTGAGGATCCTCGATTCCTTATTGCCCTTTTCTCGAGATTTGTACATGAACTCGAGATTGTCTATGATGTCTTCCAGTTCTGGGATCCCTTGCTTAATCTCCCTGTTTACTTTTCGCAGTTTAGTAATAGCCAGCTTCATTTTGGCAAGGAGAAATTTCGCTTGCGCGAGTTTATCCCTCTTTATTCTTTGGTGTCCCCTTCACAAGCTGAGAGCTTACGTTTTTGTCGCCTTGTGTAGCGATGTTATTTCCAGATGGTTCTGGGGTGTTTTGTTGCTTATTGTCTATTTCGTTTTGTGTGTTTAGTTTCTCTTTTGTGCTTTGTTTTTCCATGTGTTCAAAATTCATCATCCAGAGTGCCTGGCTGTCTCCGAACGCGGTGTCTCCGGAAGTGGGGGGGTGATCACCCTAGCAACTACCCCCATTGTTGCGAGAGCTTTTGGCTATAAGGTCGGGAATGAAGCATCAGCCCTTACCTTTCACCTACTTCTTTCATCGGCTTCCTGACACTCCCATGGGTGCGACGCGTTAACGCCGGGAGTTTTCTACGAGAACCGCGCTTTTCGTATCATACCGCACATCCCTTTCGGCCATTGTCAGCGTACCCGCTAGTCCACGTGGCCCTGCCGTAATCCTGACTTGGGGCCCTTACAGGGTGCTGTCATCCGGGCTAGATGAGTCCTTGTTTTTTTTTGAGAGCTTGCACTCCTCGTATCACAGGGACCGACGGCGCTACTCGTCGGTAGAAGAGAAATGCTCCTCTTCTTCCCTTGGTGGATTATTACTATTAGGTGGAATTTGCCGAGTTCCGTCCATATAGCCATGATCGCAACTGCGTTCCATAAATTGAGGCATAAGATATATAAATCCCACAGTTGACTGTCGCTTGATTTTATTTTATTTTCCTTCTGATCGAAGCGCCTCCTATGCCCTGCAAATTAGTTTATCGTCTTCCTCTGTGGTGGAATTAAGTATCGCTTGCGCTGGTGGCGGCTCTGCCGTCGTAGTCACTAGCAGATGGCGCTGCATGAGTCCTCGGTGGGCCGTCGATTCTGCCGCCCGGCCATGTAGTATAGTTCGCGGAACTAACATGTCCTAGTTGGCAGCACTGGCCAACATCCGAGATGGCGTCCAATACCTCGTAGTACTTGATCGATTCTATCAGCCAATCCCAGAGTGCGGCTCATCTTTAACCGTAGTGGTAGTTGTCACATGTGCTGAAGGTGACGTTGCCATCGTACCCTGGAGTAGAGGACGCTGAATGAGTTCCCGATGAAAAGGTCGTGTTTGCCTTCCAGCCGTAGAATATAGTTTCGCAATTAACACGTAATGGCAACCAAATCCACGACAGTCGAACCGAGCTCATCTTCACAAACAACACATAAGATGATACACTTCTTAACCGGATTCTAATCACTCTATGCTCGCCGATGAGCAATTAACAAGCCAGATATGAATCTTGGAGTCGATGGAATAGAATAATCTATGAAAAACCGCACAACATGCGGAGCGCACGACGATACATCACTTCCGTATCTACGCCATAATGGAACTCCATACGCCATAATGGAACTCCCATTAATAATAATATTAATCACAATAACAGTAATAATAACGATTACAATAACAATAATAATGCAATAGCAAACATAATAAAAATAACAATAATAATAACATTAACAATAACATTAATAATAATAACAATAACAAAATTAATAATAATAATAATAACAATAATAATAACAATTACAATAACAATAATAATAATAATGGTATTAACAATAATAATAATAATAATAATAATAACAATAATAATAATAATAACATTAACAATAATAATAATAATAACAATAACAACAGTATTCACAGTAAAAATAAAAATAATAATATCAATTATAATAACAATAATAATAACAATAACAATAATAATAACATCGTCAATAATGATGACACTAATAATAATAATAACAATAACAATAATAATAATAGCAAAGACAATAGTAATAATAATGACAATAACTATAGTAATAATAATAACAATAAAGTAATAATAATAATAACAATAATAATAATAATAACAATAACAATAATAATTATAATAATAATAACAATAACAATAATAATAATAATAAAAATAATAGTAATAACAAATATCAATAATAATAACAACAACAATAGTAATAACGATAACAATAACAATTATTATTGTTATCAATAATAATTGTATAACAATAATATTTGTTATAATTTGATATAATTTGTTATAATAATGTATAACAATAATAAATGTTATTGTTATTGTTATTATTATTGTCATAATATTATAACAATATTATATCATTATTATATTATATTAATGACAATATTAATGACTGTGGATGTACTAATAATAATAAAAATAATAGTAATAATAACAATAACAAAAATTATAACAACAACAATAACAATAACAATAATAATGACAATAATAATCGTGATAATAATAACAAAAACCATACCAATTATAATAAAAACTATAACAATAATAATGACAATAACTATAATGAAACAATAACAAAAATAGTAATAATAACAATGACAATAATAATAAAAATAACAATAACAATAATAACAATAAGAATAATAACAATAACAATAATAATAACAATAACAATCATAATAAAAATAACAATAACCACAACAAACATGAATGTAACTCTAGTAAAAATATCATTAATAACAATCAGAATAATAATAGCAATAGAAATAATAATAAAATTAATAACAATAAGAATAACAATATTAATAACAATAACAATAACAACAATAATAATAATTACAATAACAATTATAATAATAATAACAATAACAATAATAATAACAACGACAATAATATTAAAAACAATAATTGTAAAAATGATAATAATAGCATTAACAATTATAATATTAATAGCAATAATACTAATAATAATAACAACAACATTAATAATATCAAAAACAATAAAAATAATAATATTAATAACAATAATAATAACAATAGCAATAATAATAACTATAACAGTAAGAATAGTAATAACAATGACAATGATAATAATAATAACAATAACAATAATATCGATAAAAACAATAATAACAATAATAACAATATCAATGATAACAATAACAATAATAATATCAACGACAATATCAATAATAATAGTAATACCAATAATAATAAAAAAAACAATAACAATAAAAATAATAATAATAGTAACAATAACAGCAGTAATGATCAAAACGATAATAATAGTAATAATAATAACAATAACAAAAACAATAATAAAATTAATAACAAAAACAATAATAATAATAACATCAATAATAATAAAAATAACAATAACAATAATTATAATAATAATCATAATAACAACGAGAATAATAATGATAATAACAATAATAATAACAATAACAATAACAATAATAACAAAAATAACAATAAAAATAACTATAAAAATAAAAATAATAATAATAATAGCAATAGCAATAATAATAAAAATAACTATAATAATAATAATAACAAAAGAAATAACAATAACAAAAATAATAATAATAACAATAACCATAATAATAACAGTAACAATAAAAATAATAATGGCAATAGCAATGATAATAATAATAACAATAACAATAATATAAATAATAACAATAATAATAATGATAACAATAATAATGATGATAACGATAATAATAATGATAATAATAACAATAACAATAATAATAATAATCACAATAACAATAATAATAATAATATCAACAGTAATAATAATAACAATAATTATTCTATTAATAATAATAAAAACAGTAATAATAATAATAACAATAACAATAATAATTACAATATCAATAATCATAATCATAAAAATAGCAATAATAATAATAATAACAATAACAATAGAAATAGTTATAAAAATAACAAATGCAATAAAAATAACAATAACATATAAACAAAAATAACATTAACAATAATAACAGTAATAACAATAACAATAATGTAGGCAATAATAATAAAAATAACAATAACAACAATTATAATAATAACCGTATCAATAAAAATAACAATAACAAAAATAATAACAATAATAGCAAATTTCAATTATAATAATAATGACGATAATAATAATAATAACAATAACAATTATAATAATAATAACAATTACAATTATAATAATAATAACACAAACAATAACAGTAACAATAACAATAACAGTAATAATAATAAAAATAATGATAATAACAATACTTATAATAATAACAATAGGAATAATAATAATAATAACAATAACTAATAAATAATAATAGTAACAATAAATAATAATAATAACAATAATAATTATAATAACAATAATAATAATAACAGTAATAACAATTATATTAATATTAACAATTACAATAAAAATAATAAAAATACAAAAAGATAACCATAACAATATCAAGAATAATAACAATAATAATAATAATAATGATAAGAGTAATAAATATAATAACCATAATAATTATAATAACAGTAACAATATTAATAATAATAACAATAACAATAATTATAATAACAACAATTGTAATAATAATAACAATTACAATAAGAATAATAATAATAAAAGTAAATCAATAACAATAACAGTAACAACAACAACAATAATAATAATAACAACAACAATAGAAATAGTAATAACAACATCAATAACAGTAATAATAACAATAGTAACAATAACAATAATTATAATAATAACCGTAACAATATTAATAATAATATCAATAAGAATAAATATAATAATAACGATATCAATAATAATAATAATAAGAATAGCAATATCAACAATAATAACACTAGCAACGATAACAATAATAAGAATAACAACAATAATAACAATACCAATAGTGATAGTAATGACAATAACAATAATAGTACTAACAATAACTGATGAAAAAACAATAACAATAGCAATAACAATTTGTATAACAATCACAATAATATTAACAATAACAATAACAATAACAATAACAATGATAATAACAATAACAATAACAATAACAATAATAATAACAACAACAATAATAATAACAAAAACAATAAAAATAATAATATTAATAAGAATAATAATAACAATAGCAATAATAATAACAA